TTGGCTACTTATCTATTAGGGAATGCCTCTAAGAGGCCATTTGTCCATTCCTGGCTCCAAGACAGCACTTTTATTAGGATAGAAATTCCATGGCCTTTGTTGGCAGCTAGTCTCAATGCTTAGTTATCTAAACTAAAAAAAAAATTCTTCTTTACATTTTTAATTATGTTTAATTAAACTCCATTTTGCTATCATTTAAACTTAATTCCATCAAAAATGGAGACTAGTGACTCAGTATCCTTCCTATAATGGTCATTTGATATTTGCAGGTGGTCAAGTTTTGCCCCTACCTTCTATTTTCTAAACTAAATTATCCAGAATCCTTTAAATTTTCTTAGTGTTTCTGCTTTTTGGTACAGTATAGTGAAGCTCTATCCCTCATTAGAAAGACTGATTGACACCTATACCTATTAATAGCTTCTTAGACTCTTCCTGGCTCTCAGTCCCCCACTTAATAAACCCAGATGTGAAACTGTAAGGTACTAGAAGACTTTGGGATGTTCCCCTCATTTTGATTTGAATGGACCTTGTTGGCTTTTTTTTTCTTAAACATTTTTCTTTAGGAATGTTAGAAAAGACTGATGGCAAGAAAAAGGATTTGCTAAAGATGAATCCTTTAATCCACAGAGATTATAGGTTTTAGAAAGTAATCCAGAGAAACAGGATATAAAGCTGCTTAAGTATTGTAAGGGGATTGAACTGTTAAACTTAACCAAATCATAGACTTGCTGGTTCAAATTACTACACCTATGCCATCAAGACAAGAAAAAAGAAGGAAGGCATTAGACCTGGAAATTGTGAAATGTGTATATATATAAAAATTTTTTTTCTAAAGATTTGTGAGAGCCAATTCCTAGGAACAATTAGGGTAGGAAAAAGAGACAATGGGTGGCAGAGGTGGGGTAGTGTGTGAAATTGGGACAATGGGCAAGGCTTCCTTCTTATTCAAATCTTTTAACTGAGCAACTGTCACTAAAGAAAGTCTCAATTCTGAGGAACAAAGACACACCTTTGTTATACCTGCCATGCAGATGGCAGATTTAAGTTAACTCTTTTTAAATGTTCTACTGAATGGAAGCAATTTGTACTAAATATTTTAAGGATGCTTAAACATCATTAGGTTTTCGGAAGTTCTGGTTTATATCACAGTGATATAAACCTTTAGGGCAAGATCATTCATTCAACAATCAACAAATATTCAACAAATAAAATATTAAGGGCAAACTATGTGCAGTGGGTAGAGCATGGGGCCTGGAGGCAGGAAGAGCCGAGTTAAAATCTTACTAGCTGTGTGACCCTGGGCAAGTCACTTCACCCTGTTTGCCTTAGTTTCTTCATCTGTAAAATGAGCTGGAGAAGGAAATGGCAAATCACTCCAGTATCTTTGCCAAGAAGTTGGACGTGACTTAAACAACTAAAAAAACAACACTGTGTGCAAAGAGGCAGTATGGCAGAGTACATAGGGAGTTGACATGGGAATTAGGTGGAAGGGGTGTCAAATGTTGCCTTTGAAAAATATTATCTGAGGGGCAGAGCCAAGATGGTGGAGCGAAAGCAGTGACTTGCTAGAGCTCTCCCCCAAACCCCTCCAAATACCAACAAAAACATGGCTCTAAACAAATTCTAAAGCAGCAGAACCCACAAAAAAACAGAGTAAAACAAATTTCCAGCCCAAGGCAACCTGTATGGATGATCGGAAAGGTATATCACGCTGGGCTGGGAGAGGAGCGCAGTTCAGCGTGGGCATGCAGGCTGCAGCAAACCTAGAGCAGGCCTCAGAGGACTGAATCGCGGGCAGGTGGGGCAGTTTCCAGACTTCTCAACCCACGAATGCCAAAGACAACTTAGAAGGTCAGTGGGAAAAGTCTGTGACTGCGGTGAGAGAAGAAGCTAGATGTCAGCTGCCCCGAGGTCAGCGGCTGGCTTCTGAGCTTCTGGCCCACAGACTGAGAGGGAATCAAGTGGCTGATCAGAGGAGGATTGCAAGGATCTCTTTGCCAGGGCTGAGGCAGGAATCTCTTGCTTTGCCCGTGCTTGGATCTGGGTCACAGCTCTGAGGGGCGGTCCTGGGGCGAGAAGGAGCACTGGTGTGGTGGAGCTTGTTGTGGCTGTGGAGAGGAAACACCTCGCCCCTTATCATAGCAGCTTGGAAGAACTGACACTTTTCAGGTCCCTAGAAGTATCTCTGAAAACAGCTGTACAAACCCCCAAAGCTTGGGACAGTATATTCTCCACATTGGAAACAGACTCTTACCTTAACAAAGAGTTTAAAACTCAAGTAATTGGTGGGATCATGAGCAAGCAGCGCAAAAAGAGTCAGACTATATTATCTTACTTTGGTGACAAAGAAGATCAAAACATACAACCAGAAGACAACAAAGTCAAAGCTCCTACATCCAAAACTTCCAAGAAAAATATGAATCAATCCCAGGCCTTAGAAGAGCTCAAAAGGGATTTTGAGAAGCAAGTAAGAGAAGTAGAGGAAAAACTGGGAAGAGAAATGAGAGTGATGCAAGAAAATCATGAAAAACAAGTTAACAGTTTGCTAAAGGAGACCCAAAAAAATACTGAAGAAAATAACACCTTAAAAAATAGCCTAACCCAAATGGCAAAAGAAGTCCAAAAAGCCAATGAAGAAAAGAATGCCCTAAAGAGCCAAATTGGACAAATGGAAAAGGAAGTCCAAAAGATTACTGAAGAAAATACTTCCTTAAAAATTAGAATAGAGCAATTAGAAGCTAGTGATTTTATGAGAAATCAAGACACTGTAAAATAAATCCAAAAGAAAAATTAGAAAACAATGTGAAATATCTCATTGGAAAAACAACTGACCTGAAAAATAGATCCAGGAGAGAGAATTTAAAAATTATTGGATTATCTGAAAACCATGATCAAAAAAAGAGCCTAGACATCATCTTTCAAGAAATGATCAAGGAAAACTGCCCTGATATTTTAGAACCAGAGGGCAAAATAGAAATTGAAACAATCCACCAATCTCCTGAAAGAGATCCCCAAAGGAAAACTCCTAGGAATATTGTAGCCAAATTCCAGAGTTCCCAAGTCAAGGAGAAAATATTACAAGCAGCCAGAAAGAAACAATTCAAGTACTGTGGAAACACAATCAGGATAACGCAAGATTTAGCTGCTTCCGGAGGGCAAAGGAGATAGGATTACAACCAAGAATCACCTACCCAGCAAAACTGAGTATAATTCTTCAGGGGAAAAAAATGGTCATTCGGTGAAATAGAGGATTTTCAAGCATTCTTGATGAAAAGACCAGAGCTGAATAGAAAATATGACTTTCCAATACAAGACTCAAGTGGAACATGAAGAGGTAAACAGGAAAGAGAAATCATAAGAGACTTATTAAGGTTGAACTGTTTACATTCCTGCATGGAAAGATGATATTCGTAACTCATGAGACCTTTGTCAGTATTAGGGTAGTTGGAGGGAAAAAATTATATGTATGTACATATATATGTGTAGATAGATAGATGGATAGATAGATAGATAGATAGACAGATAGATAGATAGGTAGATAGAGGGCACAGGGTGAGTTGAAGATGAAGGGGTCATATCTAGAGAATAAAATTAAGGGGTGAAAGAGGATTATACTAGGAGAAGGAGAAAGGGAAAGGTAGAATGGGGTAAATTATCTCACAAAAAAAAACAGAAAAGAAAAGGCTCTTACAGTGGAGGGGAAACAGGGGAAGGTGAGAGGAAATGAGTGAATCTTATTCTCATAGGATTTGAATTAAGGAGGGTATAACATACACACTCAATAGGGTATGGAAATCTGTCTTACCCTACAGGAAAATAGGAGGGGAAGGGGACAAGAGAATAGGGGGATGATAGAAAGGAGGGCAGATTGGGAAAGGGGGTAATGAGAAGCAAATGCTTCTGAGGAGGGACAGGGTCAAAAGAAAGAATAGAATAAATGGGGGGGGAATAGGATTAAGGGAAATAGAGTTAGTTTTTCATAGCATATCTACTATGGAAGTGTTTTGTGTAACTGCACATGTATAGCCAATATTGAGTTGCTTGTCTTTTCAATGAGGGTGGGTGGGGAGGGAGGAAGGGAGAAAATTTGGAACCCAAAGTTTAAAAAACATATGTTTAAAAAAAATGTTTTCACATGCAACTGGGAAATATGAAATATAGGAAATGGGGTACAGAAATCTATCCTGCCCTACAGGAAAATAGAAGGGGAAGTGGTGGGGAGATAGCAGGGAAAGCAGACTAGGGGAAGGGGTATTCAGAATGCATGCCATCTTGGTGTGGGGGAGGGGCGAGATGGGGTGAAAATTTGGAACTCAAAATCTTGCGGAAGTAAATGTTGAAAACTAAAAATAAAAAAAAATTTAAAAAAATATTATCTGTGTGACCCTGAATAATTCATCTTCCCTCTCAACAATTCCAGGCAAAAGATGATAAAGATGATAAACAACATTCTCTGCAGAAAAAACTAGCAAGGACTAGGTGAACTCTAAGGTTCCTTTCTATATATAAAATATATAAATATGTATAAATATAAATATAAAATTCTATGTTTCTAAACATATTTTAACTAATGATAACAAGACAATCCAGGAGGCCACAGATTCCAATATGCATTAATTCCTAATTCTACTCTCAGCTACAAGTGTTTAAGCTGCTAAAAGCAGTATGACTCATTGTAAGAAAACGAGACTTTGTAGATGCCAAATACATTGATTTTCTGATATCCTTCTGAAAGTTTAAACAAATATATACAAAAATGGGTGTGTATACATTTTAAAAAATTTCTGAGGGCAGCTAGATGGCCCAGTGGGTAGAGCACTGGCCCTGGATTCAGGAGAACCTGAGTTCAAATCCAGACTCAGACACATAACACTTACTAGCTGCGTGACCCTGGGCAAGTCACTTAACGCCATTGCCTAACCAAAAAAAAAATTTCTGACACCCTCAAAAACATTAAACCTCTCAGAAAGATGATGTCCATTTTTGGAGCTATAACTTACCTGCCCTACAAATATATTGCCAGCAGCAACTACAGATTCGATAGCAGATGATCCCAGGGTAACCTGCATTGTCCATCCAACCTAAAAGGGAGGGGGGAAAGAAATCTCTAAAGGCAGTATTTGCTGATCAAAAAAAAATCCAATAAAGGAGATTGTAGAAGAAAATGCTTAAGCTACTTAAAAGACAGAATTGTCCTGAGAATTGCTGACTTCTGCATGTTTGATCCAGAAGGAAAGGGCTTCCATACTCATTATTTTCTCCATACTCACTGTTTTCATTTCATGGACAGCCTGATTCTTTAAATGGCTTTAAACCAGTCAACTGTTACAAGTTAGAAATCTAACAATGATCACCTGGCAATGGGTTATCTAAGCTCACCAGGGTCCCTTTTGTGAGAGTAGAACTGAAGGAACTTCCTGAATCATGTGGAAATAGTTGGGGTTGTTCCTGATCCATGGAATTCTGCTCATTGCTGTGGCCTCCACGGTGAGTTGGTTTGAGTTGGGCCAGTGAACACTTGCACTTGCTACAAGTCAAAGCTAATCAACAGTAACCCAGCCAGGAAAGAATTCTCAGCTTTCTTTTTTTCCTTGGGGAGGATCCTGGACAAACAGAGGCAGTTTAGCAGTAATACCTCTTCTTTATTTCATAGAAATGCTTGACACCCGTGGTTGTTAAAGCCTCATTCTATGTTTTAATTTCTAAACATCTATATATACATGTATTGGCACTTATCTCCTATCTCCCAAGTCTCCTTTTACTGTGCACCTCAGTACTATGGTACTTTAGAAATACAAATACTGCAAGACAGCACTTCAAGTATTTCCCCGAAAGATGCAGTTTGAAACGGCCATGCTGACACTTGACAGAACCGCATTTACCTTTCTAATGAGCCACTGCATGAATCCAAGGTAATAGAGCATGGAGATCACTGTGCTGAAGAAGACCACTATCGGCAAGACCTAGCGCAAAAACAAAAATATGATTAAGAATTAATTTGCCTCCTCATTGGGAAATAACTTTCTTAAAAATGCTTTAGAGCAGGGGCTCTTCACCTGGGGCCACAAACCCCTCAATTTCAGAGTGTTTGTGAACGTTTTTTTAAAATAGTTTGAAAAATACATTTACATATACTTTGTTTCCTTTGTAATTCTATGTGTTTTCTGTGTCTAAAATTTTTTTGATAAGGGGCCCATAGGCTTCATCAGACTATCAAAGAGGTCCTCGACTCTGAAATGGTTAAGAACCCCAGTTTCAGATGCTTGATTTTTTTTTGTTTTATTTCATCAGTGTAGGAATTATACAGTAGTGCAGATTTTAGAGATGTAAGATCATAGATTAAGTTGGAAAGGATGGATAATGGATCCATTCAACCTCATTTTACACATGAGTAAACTGAGGCCCAGAAAGGATAAGTGACTTGCAGAATGGCACTGATATGGTAAGTGACAGAGCAGGGATTTCATTTTGAGTCCCCTGACTACAAAGTCAACACTCTTTCCACTGACCCACTTTCAATCTCCTCTTCCAAATATTTTCTGGCTTACCCAATGTCCTTCTTAGAATACCATAGACATGATTTGATCAGGACAGAATACAGGACTATCACCTTGCCTCCCTGTTCCACACTAAATGTACCTCCCCTCCCCCCAATTCTCCTTACAGGGATCAAAGAAATAGAGCTGGAAGGAGCATCAGAGACCATTATCTAAGTCCCTTTTTCTTACAGATGAGGAAACTGAGGTCCAGAGAGGTTAAGTGACTGCCTAAGGTCACATAGCTAGTAAGCCAACAGAAGTGAGATTTTAACCCAGATCCTTTTTTTTTTTCAGAGCCAATGCTCTTTCTGCTATACTAAAGATGATTTGGGGAATTTAATATAAGCAGGTCAGCCAAACTATTCCTCTTCACCATGGGCTAAGGCATTGAATCTTCTTTGCTTTGTTATATACAGAACCCTTTGCTACAGTGGAATTTCACCAGCACACCATTCTGTAAAACTTCACATTATTTTTGAAACTAGCTGAGCCCCACATGAATGAGAATAAACTTTGACAAGGGGATTCCTGATGAAATTTTTCCAAGCATATTTCTTCAGGTCATCACTTCTAGTTTGTGTAACTCCCATGAAGCTATTAACACCGTGCTATTCTTCCAGCTGAATGAATGGTCAGGGTAAGTAACAGAGGCGCAAATGACCAAATCTAGGACAGCATGTTTGGGAGCACTCCATATGATTTAGAAAAGTGTATTAATAATACATATTATTAAAAGGCATTTGTCCCATTATTCAGAATTTGCACTCTCATGCCTTTTATAACCCAGATTTTAATGGGCAAGCTGAGTATTCCTGAAACCATGGACAGTTCCATTGAGTGCTTATCTTTAAATTTTAACTGTGATACAACTTCGACGTGAGCAGCAACCTAAAGAAAATCCTTCCCCACTCTCCCAACAATATGTGTGTAGATCACCAGTGAAGGAAGCATCTTTTATAAGCTAGAAAATAGGTAATTAACCACCTTAATTGTTCTTTTCTGAAGTTAATTCTTTTCAGGTCTTTGACCAGGAACATCCAACATTTAGGGTAAGAGCCTTATGATTTTACATAAAAAGGTAAAATCAGATGAAAAGAAGGCAAGGAGATTCATTTGGCATCAAACTCTAAACCTATAAAGGAAATAGGCTTTTAAAATGACACATGGTTACCCTAATAAATGTTAATAATGAAGGAAATGTGAAAACCCTAAACTGCCACTTGTGAATCATTGTTCAATATTCACACTCTCTCCCAACAGAGGGTAGGTTTCTGAAGTGAAGAGGCTGGGGGAAAGGGAGGTGATTATTGATGAAAGCTGGTCACTGAATCAATAGGTCCGAGCATTCTTACTTAAAAATAACCATCCCAAACTGGCCTGTGGCCAGTTTGCTTCTCTTTTGAAAAAAAAAAACAAACAATAAACAAACCCATCAATCTCTTCTGGTTAGGCTAAATACTTAGCCTAGCCTTTCCCCCTTGCCATTCATTGTTTTAGGCACAGCTCTGCTGCAAGACAGAGAGGGGAAGCTGCGGGAACAAAGAAAAATGCTTTAGCAATGATGTTTGATGGCCTGAGAGTATGGACATTGAGAAATTAACATCATGGCAGTGAGTAGAAAGCTTTCTTCTTACATTCTCCATAACCCCTTTGAGTTTTTTTTTTTAATTTTTATTCTTGTAAGGTAAGATAAGAAATGAAGTTTCTCAAATTTTAAGGTGATTAAAGATGAAGGATAGCTGGGGCAGCCTGTAGTCCTAGAACCCAAACGCTTTTTCTTTTTCTTTTGAAGAGAGTGCCAAGTGAGAATCCTGGTGGTTATCTTGAAAACAGTGGCATACTATATTTGAGTGAATAGGACATGAAACTTGTGAAATCTTGACTCCAGTCCGATCTCTTCCATTAATTTGCTGTGTTGGTTGGCCCCCTTTCCCTCAGTTTCCCCAACTATAAAATGGGGACAGCAGTGCCTTTCTCAGTTACTATACTTGGATGTTAGGAGGCTAAATGAAATAATATGTGTTTAGAGCTCTTTTAAGAAAATAGCCTTTATCATTTGTGGTGTGGGTGAAGATTTTCTTATAGCAATGAAAAATGTTGAGTATTGAATAGTTTTAGTACTCATAATTTATGTATGTTGCCCAGGGATTTTTCTCATTTTAGGGAGGCAGCCAACCTAGTGTGTGGCAAAAACAATGGGAGACTGTCAGTTGGCAGACAGTGGAAAGAATGCTGAAATCATGCCTTTGTGCTTAATATTTGTGTGGCTACTTCCCTAGGCCTCAGTTTCTTAATCTCTATTATCTACATTGGATAGATGGTCTCCGAAGTTCTTGCTAGCTCCAAAACCTCCGATCCTATGCTGTCAAGACCGGTCCCTGATCTATTGCTTATCACCCCTTTTGTGATAAGACAGTAATACTTGTAATACTACATCATAAGGTCATTGCAAGGAAAGTATCTTGTGAAGCAAAGGGCTCAAAAAGTAGAAGTTCTTAGAGTTACTTTGATTGGTATAATATATAATAGTTGAAATTCACATGCTGCTTTGCAATGTTTGCAAAGCACTTTCCCTATATAATAAATGCCACAGGTGTTTTTATGTCCATCTGTAAGAATAAGGAAACTGACTCTCAGTAAGGTTAAGTGACTTGTCCATGGTCACAGAGCCCTTTAAGTGGCAGAGCTAGGTCTACTTGATAGTATCTCAAGGTTGACTTATCTTGGAGAGTGAGGTTGCTTGGTGCAAACCAAATCAGGAGGCAGCTATCCTTTCCTCCCTCTCCAATATTGGATTCTACTTTGAACTTGAACTAGACTTGTATCCTAAATCTCCACACTAGAATCAGGTACAAATGAGATTCCTACTTTGATCTCCATGCCAGGCTTGCTCCCTAGATTAGTTATAGGAACTTCTTGTGGTCCATACTAATTTCTCCAACCTGGAACTCACCTTTTGAGTTCCAAGGTGAGCCAAGATCACGATCTGTTAAAGTATGCCCATCTCTCTGAGTCTGCTTTGTAAACTTTGTTACCTAGTCAAGTTGATTCTGCCTTTCCTTTGTATGTTCCCTGGAAAGGGAAAATTGCAGTCTCCTAGGCTGTGAAATTTGAGCACCTCAAGTGAGCACAGTGTTCTAAGAATCAGTATTCCTTTTCTTTGCAGTTTCTTTGCAGTTATATATAAAAATTTGAGACTGGTATATCAGTGTGGTGTCAGAGTAGAATGTGGGATTTGGAGTCAGGAAGAACCTGGGTTCTGCTTATGATGGACAAGTCACCTGACCTCTCTGATCTGTTTTAAATATTTGAATAATATTTTTATTTTTTTCCCAATCTGATCTCAGTTTCCTCATCTTTAAAATGGAAATAATATAGAGAGCCAAGTGCTTGTAGGTGATCAATAACAACCTACCACTTTAAAATCTAGGTCCTAATTAGTGCATATAATCAATCTTCTGAAGTGGTGGCATTATTTAAATTTGCATTGAATATTTTGGAACCAGTTAAGATATTTTACATAATTATGGCTTTCAAATAGGGTGGATTTGGATACATGCAACCCTTTCAAGGGGTTCATTATTCCTGGTAATTAGTCTTGGTCGGTAGTGTTGGATCTAGAAGCATCCCTAGATAGCATCTAGTCCAAGGCCTCATTTAATCACTAATTCTCATTCATATAACACCATAAATTGTAAAGCACACTTTCCTCCCTAATAATGTTAGGAGGCTCCTAGTATAAACATGACCTCTTGTACTTCACAGATGATGAGACTGAAAATCACATAGGTCACAAAGCTCATATAACACTGGATGAGCATCTAGTTGTTCAGTGCGAAGCATACTTTTTTCACTTACTTTGTTTATCTTGCTTTTTTTTTTCTTTTGCAATATGGCTAATATGCAAATAGGTATTGCATGACCTCACATGTATAATTGATATCATGCGTTGTTGTTTCAGTCACTTTTAGTCGTTTTTGACTTGGCAAAGCCATGTCTTGGCAAAGATGCTTGGAGTGGTTTGCCATTTCTTTTTCCAGCTCATTTTGCAGATGAGGAAACTGAGGCAAGCAGGATTAAGTGACCTGACCAGAATTCTACAGCTAGTAAGTGATTGAGGCTGGATTCAAACTCAGGTCTTCTTGACTTTAGGCCTGGCATTCTACCCATTGTGCCCATCAAGCAGTGGAGTCTCCTATGGTACAACAGTATAAAAATAGCACCTGTCCTTCATGAAGAAACTTCAGTGTTTAATTTATTTGCAGACCACAGTCTCCTTTTGTTCAGTTTTTAGATGCCCATTGGTGGGCTCTGACAAATATGAGAAACGATCTTTCTTGGTGAGGCAGTATGGTGTCATGGAAAGAGTAGTGGATTTGAAGTCAAAGGATCTGGCTTTGAATTTGGGCTTTACCACTTACTATCAGTGTCAACTTGGACTCTCTCTGGGTCTTTGTTAACTCATTTGTAAAGTGAGGGGAGTTGTACTCAGACTTCTAAAGTCTTTTTCAACTCAAAAATCTACAATCCTACAAAAACAGCACCCTACCCCAATATAAAGAGTGCATGAGGCACTTAATATTTCTTGGCATCTATTATATGGAAATTACTTATCTGGCTTGTCAACAGGAAAGCCAGATCTGTCATCTCATCAGAGTATTAGCTATTCTTTACTGTCAAAAGCAGAGAGTTTGACATATACAAGAGATTTTAATTGAGTTTCAGGTTGATTAAACTTTCCATTAGCATCTTTGGGTTTACTCAGCTTTTTGCTAGTTTGTTGAGTTGATAGGAACGTGGCTTTTGCTGACCTGCAGGTTTTATGAGGATGGCAGTGATGAAGCAATTTAATTTGACAAGTTCAGTTACTTAGAATTCGTGTCTCATTTTGGATTTCTCAAACACCCAATCAAATGGACCTCTGAATTAGGAAAAAAAATGTAGTTGATCTAATTACTGTAACCCAACAGGATCAGTACTTCTAGTTTTCCCACATACAGCCTGACCATTAATGTCGGACAAGGCAAATTTTTTAAGAGTTGGTCTTCATTAATGTCAAAATGCTAGAGTTTAGGTACCTTTACCAGGTTAGGAGGTTACAATGATAGCTAGCATTTATATAGTCCTTTATAAATATCACATTTTATCCTCACAACAGTCCCGGCAGGAGGGGGACAGGCAGAAGGATTGGGAAATGCAGGGTCCATGTGATCATAGATTTAGAACTGGTAGGAATTAGGGGTCATTTAGTCTTACTGTCTCATTTTTCAAATGAAGAAATTGAAGCCCAGTGAGTGAAATAACTTGTCCAAAAGTCAGTTAGATGAGTAGAATTTGAACAGGTCCTCTAAATCTAAATGCTTCTTTTTCTTACTGTTCATGCTCATAAGGTCTGGGTGGTGTCTAGAAGAGTGGTCTTACAGAGTTATTTTAGTCTGAATGACTGAGAAATGATTCATTTACACCCCTACTCTATTTCAATCAGTATTAATCAATTTGATATGATTCCACAGGGCTAGTGATTATAAGTTCTATATATTAGGCCCCAAAGCTGTGAACTGCAGAATATAAGTTCACTTGCTTAATCATAAGAAGCTAACTAGAGGCTCTCTACCCCTGTTTTTCCTTGTCATGGGGACCAATCCCAGCATGGTAGAGGTGGCCCAATTACATGGAAAGTCCTCCAACTTCTTTTTGTAGCTCCAGACCACTCTCTCTTGTCCAGTGTGAGCAGGTGAGCATCTTATGACCACCTAATCAATGAAGATGCCTAACCCAAACCAAGACCCCGCAGTTTTTTGCTGATACATCATTTTTGGCCATCAGAACAAAGCCTACCAACCAATGCAATTCTGTATTTTGTGTAGCCTTTCCAGAGTGTTAGGTATCCAACCTTATAAAAATAAGGCCATGGAGGAAGGGAGCATCTCAGATTGTGAGGAAGATCTGAGGTCCACTTCATCAGAGGGACCCTTTAATAAAGTGCCATTGGCTTGGAGCTCTGCCTCATTTTCTTTTATTATAGGTTGGACAATTTTTAACCCTACATGATTGACTGTCATTTGAGGCTAGTAGTAACCGATCTTTTAGATATGTATCTTAGAACACGGAACTTTCATGAAGAGAAAGGAAAATAGACTGAATCAGGCTAACTTAAAGGTGTTTTCCCTTTATGATGGGGTAGTGTAGACTACTACCCTTTTTGTTCTATGATGCAGGGGAACCCGTTATGTCATATGTGTTCAACAGAAATAAACAATTTCTCTTACAGTAAGGACTTCCTCCAGGAGAGGCCTCACAGGAAAAGGAAAAAAATGGAGTGAAAGAGAGAGACATACTTGCTTAAATGTCTTCCTGGGTTTTCAGAAGAGGCTTGAGAAGAAAAATATTTGAGAAATAGTTCTTTGAAAAACATTCCAGGCTGGTAGTGGCAGTGTGTACCTGGACAGGCCACTAAACCTTTCAGGGCCCCTGACACTTTCTGATAAATACAAAGAAGATGCCAATTTGCATAGGGAGATAAAGTTCCTTCCCAAGTGTGCCTTAAATGGATGAAATCACAAACAATCTACCAATGATCATATAAACATGTTTCAAGTCATTCATAATAAGACAAGTACAAAGTAAAACAATTGAGGCATTATTGCATACCTACCTCCCCCCCCCCATTGCCAAAGATGAAAAAAAGTGGAAAAGATAGGCACATTCATTCATGGCTGGTGTAGCTGTGTATTGGTACAAGTATTTTGGAAAATAATTTGAAAATATGTAGGAAAGGTTACTAAACTCTTAATGCCCTTTTGTTTCACTACTTGGTTTAGATATCCAAGGAGGTCAGTGAAAAAAAGAGAGGCCCCATCTGTGCCAAAATAATCATAGCTAGAAAAAAACAAAAACATGGGAATAAATATATCTCCCAAGAATTAGGAAGGACTAAACAAATTATTGTTCTTTTTTTTAAATGGAATTAATTGCATATTATTATGTCATAAGTAAGGGTTAATGAGACCTATGCAGTGGAATAACTTGAATGATGTGAGGCAGAGCCAGGAAAGAAGAACAAAGAATAATACACACAATGACATCACAATACAATATAAGAATAGTATATACAATATATACAATAGCATAAAGGAAGACAACATAATCCAGTCAAACACAGAGGTTAATATTGGTTCCAGAGGACTGAGGTTAAACCATACACCTTTTTGGTTAAGAAATGGCAAACTCTAAGACTGGAAATTTATAGAGGCTATTTATCTCAATCATTAAATTATGACACTGTTTAAAACTGTTCTTCATGAGGCAACTGTTCATGAAGGAGTATTAGTATTTTCCAAATTAAAAAAAAAAAGATGGAGTCATCCTACCCTCAGTGTCTCTTTGCAGACAAAATATAAGAGAAATCCAATTAGATAAAAATAATTTACTCGGCTGATCACCCAAAACAGATTTTAAATATATACATATAATGGTAGAAGGAAAGAAGGGAGGGAGATGAGCATTGTTTGAATCTTACTCTCACCAGATTTGGCTCAAGGAGGGAATAACATAATCAGTTAGGTAAAGAAATCTAACTTGCCCTACAAGGCAGTAGGAGGGAAAAGGAGAAAGAAAAGGGAGGCGGGACTGAGGGAGGTGGGACTGAGGGAGTCAGTGGTCAAAAGCAAAACACTAGTGAGGAGGGAAAGGGAGAAAGGAGAAAGAAAAGCATAAACAGAGGGGAAATAGGATGGAGAGAAAGACAGATAGTAATCATAACTGTGAATGTGAATGAAATGAACTCTCCCATAAAACAGATGTGGATAGCAGAATGGATTAAAAACCATAATCCTACAATATGTTGTTTACAGGAAATACATTTGAAACAATCGAATGCACAAAATAAACAAGAAAGAAGTTAAGGAGGTGAATAGAATTTTAGAAAAGTTAGATATGGTAGACCTGGAGAAAGTTGAATGGGTATAGAAAGGAATATACTTTTTTCTCGGCAGTACATGGCACATACACAAAAATTGACCATATACTAGGGCATAAAAATCTCACAATTCAATGCAGAAAGGCAGAAATATTAAATGCATCCTTTTCAGATCATGATACAATAAAAATTATATGTAATAAAGGACCACGGAAAGATAGACTAAAAATTAATTGGAAACTAATCTAATCCTAAAGAATGAATGGGTCAAACAACAAATCATAGAAACAATCAATAACTTCATTCAAGAGAATGACAATAATGAGACAACATACCAAAACTTATGGGATGCAGTGAAAGCAGTTCTTAGGGGAAGTTTTATGTCTCTAAATGCTTACATGAATAAAATAGAGAAAGAAGAGATCAATGAATTGGAAAAAGAAATTTTTAAAAAGATATAAATAAATACAGACATATACATTATCATTGAAAAGGTATTTCTATAGCCATTGCTTGGTTGCTGAAGAAAGACTTAGTTGGGTTTAGTGCCTTTCTACCAATGAAAACAAATAAAAATAAATTTATAGCTCTGGATTAAGATACATGGAAAAGGTGGTGGTTCTTACCTTAAAAGCAAAGAAATGGTCTGTGTACTTCTCACCGAAGACAAATATGGCTCCTGAGTCTGTAAACTCCAAGAAAATCTAGAGTAAAGATATCAGTAAAATTTGCTTTAAAAATCAATTACTGAAAAAGATGCTTGTTGAATTAGGGGGAAATACCCTTAGGCCTGATAGTTAAACATGACCTGCATTGAATCTGACCTTACCTTTACTTGGTTCCCCAACCAATTGAATGCCTCAAATCCAGGTGTAGTTCTTAGAATGAAAAGACCAAGAATAAACTGTAATCCAATTCCCCAAAAGACAGGTCTCCAGAACACCTATGCATAAAAGAACCAGAAATGTTCATCTTATTAGGATAGAAATGCTGTAGTAAGGGGTTCAAGATGACACCTTGCATTCTCAAACTGACATGGGGCTGACTTTCAGCTGTCATGTTTGATAGAGCCAGAAAAAATAATTGTCAAAGAAGATACAGAATGTAATGACCCTGGCAGAACCTGACATGGGGTGGCTTTTTATGATTTACCCTCTGGAGAACTTTCCTAAATAAAGTCATTAGTTTTTGGTTTACCAAATTGCCCCAGATTCCCTAAGTTTCAAGACTGCAATCTCAAGAAGTGATAAACTTACCAAGACCATGTCTAACTTTGGCACCAACAAGTGATTACCACTCTTGGTTTTGTATTACTAATGGGTGTGATTACTCTGGGGACAGTCAGGTGGCACAGTGGACAGAGTGCAGGGCCTAGAGTTAGGGAGACTCAGTGAGTTCAAATCTGGCCTCAGACACTGACTAGATGTGTGACCTTGGCCAAGTCACTTAACACTGTTTGCCTCAGTTCCTCATCTGCGAAGTGAGCTGGAAAAATCACTTCAGTTTTTGCCAAGAAGACCCCAAATGAGGTCGTGAAGAGTCAGACGTGACTGAAAAAATGAATGAATAAGAACAAAAATGATTATTCAAGGGCCATCATGAAATTTGCACCTTAAAAATCAAAATTTGTTTTAGTAACTTAGAATGAAAGATAAAAGTATATCATTCAGTACTTTTGAACTGGATCTGTGATTGCATTGGTATAGGAAATTCCTGAGGAGGAAATGCCCTCTACTAATTTACATCACCTGTTCTACTGCCTAGTGGCATGGCCTACTAAGAGTTTATAAAACTTGTTCAGGGTCATTCAGGTAGTATATGTCAAAAGCGGGACTTAAACTTAAGTCATCCTGATTCCAAAGTTAACCCTGTACCTACTATACCATTGCACCTTTCCATACCAACGATGTATCATGAAAATCCACATCAGTTCACTGAGAATGAACCTGACTTCCTGCTCATTCTTAATTGTCATATAAGCATGGCCATTTCTCCTGTCTTGAAAACAGAAAGGCAATGCATGACCAATGCATGGAGCATATGTGTGTTTCTCTCTCTGCTATATGCTTGAATATGTGGGAGCCACTTTGAGAACTAGGATGGAACAGAGAGAAACCATTTCAGAAAGGTGTATACATATCAGGAGAAACAGCAAATGAATCCAAGGACGGGCAAGGAAAGCCAGTAACAGAACGTGTGGGAACACTGACACAATTAGAAATGAAGAGAAACATTTTACTTCAGTGCCTCATTGTAAGGTGACCCTGTCTTCTTAAAAGTGGCAGGTGGTGGTAGTGGCTACATCTGAAGCCCAAAAGCAATGGGAAACTTCATTTCAAGAAACCTTGGTCATTTTGCCTTGAAGCACTCATGGTGAAGATAAGCGAAAAGGCCATAAAGATAATTGCAGCGAATGTGCCAACATGATAAAGGATGAGGAAGTAGAGAAATCTTAAGAATTAAACTAGGTTCTGTATTACATAGGATGGATCTCTGGGACAGAGGGATGAAAAAAATGAATTCTGGGAGATAGAAAAAGTTGGAAAACATGGTTAATTATATTAAGAAATGAAAAAGAGCCCAAGATTTATTTGCCTTTATTATTTGACTTTTCTTACTCAGAAGCCATATAACTATGTGCCATTAATGCTTTCTTTAAAGAAAAAAGTTTGATATCATAAAAATGAAACTGACTAGAGCTTAACAGATAGGAAATGACTGGTCACAAATGTGAGAGTCATTTAAAAGCCAGTGAAATCATATCAGAGTAGTTAGAGCAAAAGTCAAAACTTAGCTAACAAGTTAGAAGACAGGATAAAGATGAGAAAATACTGCACACAATTACAACAGCTCCCAAAGAGGAGAAGATACCAAAAAAGAAAAAGAACATGGATGGCATGCTGGCTAAAAAGATCAATAATTACTTTTTCCTTTCTATGGGATCTTGATAAGAAGAGTCTATGCTTGCATTGAGAAAATCCTTGAAAATATGAAAAAGACAGGTAGTATTTTGCAGTTGATTTTCCACAGCAGGGCATTTTTAATAGTCACAAAACTGAGGAAACATGTAGAAAATATTTTATAGTTGAATGATTTGTTGATTATTTCCATGCCCCCCACCCCCAAAAGCTTTTGACCTACATAGTAAAATGTCATCTTAAAGGCTCTCCTACAACATGAGAACATGTAAGATTCAATGAAAACACAACCATAAAGATGGATCGGTTTAACAATCTTCTGATTATCAACCTCAAGGCAAGCTGAAAATAGAGAAATACATGCTCCCCAAAAAGTGTTCTCTATTATTAAGAAAAATGTTCTGTGAAAATCCCAAATTAAATGTATTACATAATTATAAGGAAAAGCAAGCCATACATATTAGAGATGTAGTACAATTCTCTTTGTTCTACTTCATATATGGAAATGCTCATTTTATTTGGTTTTAGTCAAGGTCATAGTAAAAAGAAATACATCCTCTAGATGGCTGAGATTGCTGAGATATTCCTGTGTATGGAAGAGATTGTATTGATAGCCTTGGGGTTAAAATACTGGACCTCTTCTTTGGTCACTCAAGAGATCAGCCATCCAGCAAAATTAAAGTAAATGAGGAAAACAAATACAATGAAGAATGCCTAATGCCAAGATTATGATATGAAGTTGGATGGGCAACCAGTAGTTAATTCATTAATCCTCAAATCTTGACTACATCTGGCTGATGGACAGTGAACTGAATTGGAGGAAGCAATTAGGTTAGATTGCATCTTGGGGACAGCACAGTGTTTGCAGGGATCCCAAGCTCTTCTCTTCTGCCAGAGTTCATCTCTTTAGTACCAATATTTTCCCTCTTATGCCTTATGGCTGTGAATCACAGAACATTATGATCTTAGTAGACGCAGAAGTACAGATGATCCAAAGGGCAATGAAAAGACGCATGGTGGGTGTTAAGTAGGCTGCACTGTGTCAATCAAGATGAGTTACATCAAAAGTGGAATATAGGACATCAAAGACATATATCACTAGAAATAGCTGGTCAGGTAGCATAAGTGAGCAATAACAGATGGACAGCCCAAGTGCCAACAATTGAAAAAGTGAGAAAATCATTAACAAAGGGGAGTTGCAGCTTGGCTTTATCGTATCTCACATGTCGGCTCCATCATGAGTGCTTCACTCTGGAACCAGTCTGATACCATATAGCCCTCATTCTCTGTGGCAGAGTTTTGCTTTCATTTGCCAACTTCCATAAGATCCAATATTTAGAGCTGGAAGAGCATTTTACCCAACCCCCTCATTTTTCAGAGGAGGAAACTGAGGCCTAGGAAGGTGAAGTAACTTGCTCAAGGTCACATAAGCAGTAAATAGTAGTGCTGGAACTTGAAGTCCCCAAGTCCAGAACTTTTTTCTCCACTGTAACAAGCTGTTTGAGAATAATGTGACTGAAAATCAGCATTGATGATTCATTCCTATTTCACTATGCAAAGACTTGATTAGCTCCAAAACACAGAACTAAGGGAATAGCACTGATTGGCAGTTCAGACAATGTTTGTGATGGTCAAGGGGTACATGGAAGAATTTGGATCACTGCAAAGCTTTTGTTTCCTTTGGATTGAAAATCCCTTGTGTTTGTGATTATGAGACAGTATATGTTCTGGGGATTCATTCTCTTCCCTGTTAGAGCAATCCTCTTACTCATCCCAATATAGAAACCATGCCCATGATTTCTTTCACTTAGTCATTCTCCTTTGTTAAAAGGGAGGGCTCTAGGGGGAAAGAGAAGTGAAAGAAGAGTCATTAAGAAATGACAGTGCTGGGGAGCTAGGTGGCACAGTGGCTAGAGCACCGGCCCTAGAGTCAGGAGGACCTGAATTCAAATCCAGCCTCAGACACGTAACACTTACTAGCTGTGTGACTCTAGGCAAGTCACTTAACCCCAAATGCCTCACAAGAAAAAAAGAAAAGACAGTGTTGTACTAAAGAAAATAAATAAAACATTTTTTAAAGCACCCAATACATACTTTATATATAATGCCATAAAGGTCAAGTGTTTAAAATGTAGACAAGAGATTAAAATGAATGCAAATATTTCTTTAGTACTTACCCTAGTTGGGTACTTAGAAAATATTAGCATCAGGAGAACAAAGAACACAAGCCCACCAAAGGACACCAGAGACTGGGTTCCCTGTTTGGCTGTGTCAAAAATTAGCCAGCAAATGACTCCTGTAATCAGCAAGATCCATATCAGCCTAAGAGGAAGGAAAGAGGGTTGAGATGACTTGATGTATTTTCAAATGACAGCCAAACTTTTGAAGAATTTTTCATTTTGCCCCGGGGAATGACAAGTTGATAACTTTTCCAAACACTTAAATAGAGCTAACTGTATTAGCAAACTCAGGTGGAGGAATTTGTTATAGACAAACACCATCTCTATGGGTGTATTAACATGAGCAAATCACTCAGAGAGTTCCCTCCCATATCATATGTCCTTTCATATTCTGAGGAATTAGGAAAGGAAACACCCAATCACTGACTTTCCTGTGTGTCACCAGTGTGGAATGGGTAACACCAATATTTTGTTTTTACAGAATAAGGGATCTGGAAAAGATCTCAAGAGCTTAGCTGTCCAGTTTTCTCCCTCTAAGTAGGTTTGTGTAGAAGACAGGACAGATAGCTTGCCAACCCCTACTTAAAACTCTCCAAATGGTATGATTTCCACAATTTTCCTTGGAATATTTCTTCTAGCATCTAATCATCTTTTGGGTCTGGATTTGTGATTCCATCCCTGGAGGGAATTCCTAGCATAAATCCCCACCTCTCCCCCCCAACAATAGGGACTTGGGAAAAGCTGAGCACTAATCCTTATTCCTTATTCAAACTGAAATCTCACCCTTGAACAATAGAAAGATGTTCCATACTTACCACTTCAACCAGAACCAATGTTTGTTCAGGAATCTGCCACCAGGAGACAAGAATTTAGCAATCTGACTTTCATATTTGGCTATCAAGTAGTCCCAAATGACAAAGAATATGGTAGCAACAGTGAAGACAAAAAGTGGGAGGGCTCTGTGAAAGTTCACCACGCAAGCTGCAATAACTACAGCCAAACAGCCTATCAAGGAAAGAAATGAACACACTATTCATCACATATACAGGGAACTGGTAGATACTATGCCAAGCCTATAATGAGTTGATACTTAATCAAGGCAGAGCAGAGCCATAACTAGCATTTTTCATGCCTAGAGCAATTAAAGTTCATAAAATGGGCTGGCAAAGCAACATGAACAGCATCCTCAAATCAACACTTTTAAAAAGACAAATTTTAGCTCTTCTATTTTGAAACCAAACCTAGGTGGGGAGAAGTTTAATGATGTCCATTAACCTGACTTCAATTTTTATTTTTACTTTGCCATAAAAGGGATTCTTTATCTGATTAAAAGAAAGCCTCAAGGAGACAAACTTAAAAAAAAACCCAAACAAACCAACAACAACCCACCACTTCATTTCTCAAGGGCTACATCCCTACACCATCCTGCTTGACCCCACTGGACTCTACTCTCATCGGAAGCATTCCCATTCTCCAGGCTTTTCTCACTTTAACCCATGTCCTCCTCATCCAAGGTTCTCCAATATTTCTCTTTTCAACTTTTATTCAACTTTTTTTTTTTTACTTTTACTTTTACTTTTAGATTAGGGGATGAGGGGTTGAGAAAAGGATAGGGATGTGTAAAAAGTTGCCAGTCAAATGTGATGTTCTGACATTGTGGTTGGGAAGGGGAGGAACTCGTGTTAGTTCTTAGCACATCTGGTAGCTTTCAATTTTAGGTAATTTAACACCTGTTAACTTAGAGCTTTGGTAACTATATAATATATATCAAATACACATATCATATGTATCAAATACAAAAACTACATTTTGGGCGAATGTGTGTGTCTTTAAACATTCATACAAATGGGGACTTTAATTTATTTTCACCATGTGAACTCCTAAAAGCTAACAAAGTGGGGAGGGTGATCTTTGCTATTTCCTTTATAAAGCAATTAATACCACAAATGATTCTTCATCATGATCTGCTTGTTCATTCTAATGTTAGACTTAGGAGGTGTAGCTTGGTATAATAACACAAATGGCAGAAACCAGGTTGAAGGGAGGATAGGTGATTAGTACATAGTGACTGAAAAAGCCATGGGTAGAATAAAATTGAATCTCCTAAGGGTTGCTTAATATTAGAAAGTCAAATCTTCTAATCTGGAAGTACTTAAAAATAGGAGGGCTTCTCATTTGTGTGAGCTGGTTTAGGTATGAACTTATCGGAAAGCAACAGTATAAAATAGATGGCCCCTTGGCATCTCCATGTTCCATATTTATTTGTATTGTTTTACTTTTTTTATTTGTATCCACAGGACTTAGCCTAGTGACTGGCTTGCCTTTTGCTGGATTCGAACTCATGAAAATAAGTCTTCTTGGTTCCAAGCCCAGTGCTCTATGTACTTCACCACAGAATTGCCCAGCATGTTAGAATTACTGTCGAGCATTTCTACTGTCCATCCTGCATGCCAAAAATGCATTACTCCCTCACCTTCACAAATTCTTATAGTCCCTTGTTTTCTTTTCCCTTCTTAGGGAGGCTGAGAGGTCAAGTGACATGCCCAGAGTCACAAAGTTAATAAGTGTCTCAGAGTAGTTTTGAACTCAGGTCTTCCCAACTCCAGGCCCAGTGCTTTATCCACTGAGCCATGTAGCTAGTTGATATCCTCTCCCAATAAATTTGCCTTGTATTTATCTTGTGTATTTTCTGTATATGTTCACTTATATACACACATCTCCTGAAGGGTAAGGATTGTTTTATTGTTGCCTTTGTAGCCCCAGTGGCTAGCTAGTCTACTAAGGCACATAGTAGGCACTTAACAATAGCTTATTTAATAGAGGTCATTGCTTTGCCTTAGAGTAATGGGAAGATTTCCCACTAGTTTTCTTTGCCTTAGAAATAAAGCAACATTACCACCATCAAAACTATTATTACAATTTAGTGGCCATGTCAGCAAGCATGGTAGTTAGCTTAAGGAGGTTTCAATAACATCTCTCTCAATCATTTTTAAGTCGTGTTACCTCATAAACTGGGAATTTCAAGGGGAACAACTTGTGTTCACTTTCCCTATGCTTTGTGTTTGTGGCAAAGAGCATCTTGACCACATACATTTTTGATGCTCTGAAGGATAGGATGAATTTTCCCTCCTAGCACAAGTGAAGAGTTTTCCTCAGTATTCCACTTAGAAGCCCAGCCCTTCAACTGAAACCTGAAAAAGATGCTTGTGTCCCTCCCAACTGAAGTACCTGCTAATAAAATGCCATAGAAGATGTATTGGATTACAGCTTTATGCTTCCTAAAGAAGTCACAAGTCTCATTATACTTCTTTTCTAGGTACCTGTGAAAATACAAAAAGAGACAGTAAAGAATTTAGGTAGAAAGAAACAAATGGCTTCCACTCCAATTTTTTTTTTAAGAGGTGAGAGGTGTCTGCCACAGTGTTCAATGTATCAGTTATTTTTTTCCTCTCTTTTTCTTTTGTCTTTTATGGGATGGCTTTCTGGGAAGGAGAAGTGGAGAGATGTGGTGATATAAAAATACGCCAATAAACCATGTCTATCTATCTATCTATCTATCTATAAAAAGAAATTAATGTCAGCCTTGTAGAAGCAACAATTGAAGCAGATTTAGAATAGGGTAAGGATTACTAATACTCCACGGGGAATATGGGGAATTTTTGCCAAATAACTATTATCCTATTGAAATCTTTCAAAGTTGTAGTGGTAAATATGTGGATTGGAGAGAGACTTGGTGAAGGCCAAGGTGAGGTGGGAAAGGGAGGGATTTTGTATTGATGTAATGATGCATCTGAAAGATTTGTAAGTGAAATTGGGGTATAATTTCTACAACCCAAACCCAATGAATGAGGTTTGGGGACAAAACCCTTTTCATTCAATGTAATTCAAGATGATGTAACTGAAATCTGCGATAACCACAAACACTGTATCATTTCTAATCAATGAGGTTACAAAATTTTCAGCATACCCTGAGAAAAGCCAGTCCCATTCTTACTAAACTAATTCCATTTGGTTTAATTTGTAACCACAATTTAATTCCATTTGTAACAACTTGCCTCAGAGAATCAGGATTCTTAATCTTTCTTGCAAATCAAATCAAAGCAAGAAACAATCAATCAGTTAAGAAGCATTAAATGTCTACTATGGGCCAGGCACTGTGTGAAGTGCTGGGATACAAAGAAAAGGCAAAAGACAGTCCCTGGCTTCAAGGAGCTAACAGTCTAACATGGGAGACAACTTGCAAAAAACTATATATGAGCTATATAAAGTATAAATTGGAAATAACAGAAGGAAGGCAGTGGAACTAATGGGGATTAAGAAAGGATTTCTGCAGATGGTGGGATTTTAGCTGGGATTTGAGGGAAGCTAGGAGTTGGAGATGAAAAGGAGATCTTTATAGATATACTGATGGGAAAATGTAAACAGACTCGAAATTGAACATGATATATGGGTGTCTTTTAAAAAACTATACAGAGAATAAAACTATAGATTGACAAGAAACAGAATCAAGGGTCACATTAATTGTTTCCTGATAAAACATTCGACAGCTTTATGATACTAAAAAATGTTTAGATTCCAAATAAAGTTTCTTTATGAAAAATCTATCTCTTTATTATATGCATATGTATTGTAAACTCTACAACCTATTTCCTTTCATATTGAATAAAAGGCATGGGAAAACTTACTGAAAACCAAGAATAGATTCTATAATAGATTCTAGGTAGGAAGCATTGTTTATATTATAGAATGTAATTTGGAGGCACAAGGAAAAATACAGTTTTGATTGAGTTACTGGTTCCCAATCTTTTACCTAGGAAAGGTTTTTAATTGATTCTTTTGTATTTTGTCCAGGTGAGCATATAGTAGCCAGTTTGTTAGAGTACTCAGAGCTAGCCTTTAAGTAAGGAAAAACCAGTTTCCAGTTCAAGTCCTGCCCTAATCGCTGTGTGACTTTGGGCAGAGAGACATCATAACAGTGGAAATTTTGATCACTAGCTCTAGGGTCAGAGCACCTAGGTTTAAATGTACATTTCTGGTACTGTCTAAGTAACCTTAGGTAAGTCATTTAATCTCCTTGGGCCTCAGTTTCCTCATTTGTAAAATGAGGATGTAAAATGTAAAACTAGATGGCCCTTCTAGTTCAAGCCATATATGATGTGATTGATTGAAGTTGCCCTAGGCAACTACTGATGGAGGGAGTGTACATACCAGTAATTTCTGACATTTCTCTCTGTCTCCAATCCCCACCCTCACCTTCCCCCAAATGAACAGAGATTGGACCTAGAATTAGGAAAACCTGAATTTAAATCTGCTCTCATAGTTGTATGACTCTCTGGACAAGTCACTTAACTTCAGTCTGACTCAGTTTCCTCACCTGTAAAATAAGGATAATAACAGCATTTATCTCTCAGATTGTTGTGAAGATTGAATGAGATTAATATTTGTAAAGCACTTTGAAAACCTTAAAGTGCTATACAAATGCTAACTAGGATTATCTGGTCAACAAGTTAAAAGTTGGGGGACAGGGACAATTGTGACAAGATAAATTTATTTGGAGGCTAATGTTTTTTAAATCCCAAGGAATAAGGGAAAACTTTCAAATTTTTCTCTGTTTGTCCCTTGTGCACCTCATACGTAATCTAGTTGGAAATATGTCCCAATATGGACATATGTTTGATTATCTATCAGAAATGATTCCAGGCATCCAGTGGGTTTTTTCTATAAACATTAGCTGAAACATGAGTACCTCCTTGCCACTCAGGGGGCTTTCTCAACCTCTAGAGTCTTACAGTGTTTCAAGGAATCTTAAGGTAAAATGAAATTGGAAAAGGAAGCTCAGATTTCTCTCAGTAAATGTCCTTGAAAGTTGATACATGATGAGAATATTTTGGCTTCTGTGCAGTGCTTCTCAACCTTGGTTTTGTAATGCCCTGGGGTGCTCTCCAGTTATCTCAAGGGCTGTCAAGAAATTTGCCCCTTCAAAGTCTCAAAAATAAAAATTTGTTTTCAGTAACTTCAAATTTAAAGATGATGTTATACACTTAAGTACTTTTAAGTAGAGTTTCATGTGTGTCATAAAATCAGAGATATTTTAGGTATTGTAGACCAGATGGAGTTTATAGAATACCTAAATCAATCAACAAGTATTTAAATACCAACTCTGTGCCTGGCACTATGCTAGGCACTGGGGATACAAGCAAAAAGAATAAAACAATCCCTTTTTGCAAGGAGCTACTTCATGATTGGGGACTGGTAGAGGAGATAATAATAGAACTCTGTAGCATATAACATGATAGGCAGCTAGGTGGCACAGTGGATAGAGTGGTGAGTCTGGATTTAGGAAGATCTGAGTTTAAATCTGGTCTCAGATACTTACTAGCTCTGTGACCCTGGCCAAGTCAAGTAACCCTGTATGCCTCAGTTTCCTCACCTGTAAAATGAGTTGGAAAAGGAAATGGCAAACCACTCCAGTATCTTTGACAAGAAAAGCTCAAATACGGCGATGAAGAATTGGGCATGACTGAAAAACTACTGAACAACAACATTATTTCTTGAAATGAGGAAATTTAAAGGTTGATGAGATGACAGTGTAAGAAGCTGAATTTTTAAAAAATGAAGTGTAACCTAAAATAAATGAGATTGCAAGACAGTATTTAATTGTGTGAACTTTAGCTTGAATTGATGAAAGAACTAGAAAATATGATTACTGAGCTTATGTTAGAAAGCTATGAAAGATCCTGGAGAATGGAAGAGATGGTATGATTCTGGAAAAGTACAAATATTAACTTGTTTTTCAAAAGAAGGAAAGAGGGTGAGTATGCAAAACATGGATCTGATTTCTATTTCTGGCAAAATTCTAGAACATGTTGTTAAAGGGAAAGTTCATTAGCATTTAGAAAGGGAAACAGCAGTCACAAAAAGCCAGCTAGATTTCATCAAGAGAAACAGGTCACACCAATCTCATTTACTTTAGATTGGAAGGACAGGCAGTCATATAGTGGACTGAGAACCAGCCTTGGAATCATGGAGATATGATCAAGTCACACACTGGTTGCATGACTCTGAGGAAGACTTGACCTCTTTGTGCATTTCAGGCAACTCTGTAAGGCTACAAGGTGCAAAGCAGGTACTGATCTGAATTGGTAGAAAGTTCCTTACTGGGGATTTCATATAGCATTGAAATCACAGGTCTAATCAGGTCCCTATTCCCCTAATGACACCCCCCCAAATCACCCCCCCAAAAAAACAAACAAAAACAAAAAACAACAAAACCCTAAACAGAACTGGTAGACTGGGGAAATACAGTGAACCCTGTATATTTAGATTTCAGTAGATCATTTGACAAAGTCTCTGAAGCTTTTCTTGTGGACAAGATGTAGAGATATGAGTTAGATGGATACATGGTCCAATGGATTAAAAAATGATTGACCAAATCCAAAAGAATAGTCATTAACGGGTCAATGTAAACTTGGAAAGAAGTTTCAAGGGCAGTGCCTCAGAGATCATCTGTCTGTTCATGACCTTGTCCTGTTCAATATTTTTAAATCAATAACTTGGATGAAGACATGCTTGTCATCTGTGAATGATCAGAATCTGGGAGGGATAGTTAACACATTTGGATAGCTCCATAGGTTAGAATTACAGGTTGAATCAAGTAAGATGAAATGTAATAGAGATAAATAAAAATTTCTGTGTTTAGGTTCCAAAAGTCAAAACTGCAGACAGCTGGAGGCATGGCAACAGAAAAATTCCCATGGAAAAAGATCTAGGGATTGGTGCACAGCCAATATTGAAATAGAAGATGTTGATATATTTTCACTGCATCAATAGATAGGTCTGACTTCAGAGGACAGAGTCATTTGTCCCCTAGTTTCTGATCATTATTTTGTGACTTTCAGAGACATGGAGTTGGTGAAAGAGCAAAGAAATTCAAACCATTCCTACTGCAAACTCATCAAGTATAGCAGCCATGCCTGAGTCTCAAAGAAATAAGTCCTATTAAAATTCCCCAGATGCCTAATTGATTTTGGAACTTGATTATTATATTGTAAGCACTTCAAGCCTTGAATCTCTAATAAGCTCCTCAAAGAAAGGCACCATACATATGCCACCCATCTCCCACAGCTCCCCACCTACCATAGTGCTCTAGGTGCAAAGTAGACATTCAATGAATTCTATTAATTTATGGTAAATGTTCAATGACAACTACTTGTAAATTTGAACTCCATCTGAAGGCTCTTAGGTCTCAGGTGTGTGATAAGCTGTGGTTACTGTATGCTACTATTACAGGGGATGGTAGTGGGTTAGATTTTTCTCCTTATTTTAATTCATAAGATCATAAATGTAGAGCTGGAAGGAATTCTAGAGGATATCTGGTTCAACTTCTTATGTTTACGTCAGAGGCCCAGAATCAGGATTCAAACGCAGGGTTAGAAACTTCTAGACCCCTACTCTATTCCAATCAGTATTAATCAGTTTGATTTTTACATAAATCATTTAGGGGTCATTAGATAAGATAGGTTCTTATGGTAGGCTTTTATAGTGGACCTCAAACCTTAATGTAATATTCACTTCTTGTTTACTGGTTATATAGCTCACTTGTGCAACCACAAGAATGCTGACAATGAAATCTCCATCCTATTTTACTCAAATTCCATGTCCAAACCCAGTGTGTGTGGGATGTCTGATTCTTTGGAAAGTCCTCCAACTTATTTTTGTACCTCTGGACCTTCCTCTCTTGTCCAACATGAGTAGGTGATCATCTATGACCACGTGGTCACCAGAGATGACTCTTGCTTTGCCCATCTTAATTTTTGATCCTCATGAGCAAGGTCTATAAACCAGAGAGATTTCATTCTTTACCATGCCTCTTTCGCATATTTGGGTATCAAACCTTATAAAAGTAAGGTCCTGGGGACTAGGGGCATCTCAGATCATGAGAAGATCTGAGGTCTACTTCATTAAAGGGGGCCATAGACCCTTTAATAAAGTGCCATTGGCTTGGAGCTCTGCCTCAGTGAATTTTCTTGCAGATTGGACAATTTTAGCCTCCACACTAGCTAGTCGGCATATCCTTTCCTGGGACCCTAAAGGGTGGGAAACCAATCAGATCCACCTCAGTAGGACCTTTTACCATCCTCAAACACTTGTGTTACACTGACTCTACAACTATTCTGAAATATGCATGCTGGCATCCCAGTAAAAGATTGGGACAACCACACATCAGTTAAATCTAGAGAGAAATTTTGTGTAAGACAATCAAGGCCCCCTATCATGGCCTTAAGACCATCATATCAGAGGTTTTATTTAGTTGTATCATGTCTCTCACCCTTCCTAGTTCTGCTTTGTGTCAGTCCTGGCCCTGTTGTGAAGGGGTTAGTGGTATACCCAGGGGTATACTGAGGCTGTGAACTTCTGAGAACAAATTGTTAAATTTTTGATGTAAGCAATTACACCTCAGAAATCAACAAATATTACAAATCAGGGCCTGATTTGTTGTTTCACTGATTGTCTAGACTTAAGAAAGTGATGAAGAAAATATTAACAAAACAGATAAAACTTAAATGTATGTTGTGCATATATTTTTCATCCCTGGTGATCTGGTTGTTAAAAATAAAAAACATAGAAAATGCACAGCCCTGGTTACTCCCTTCCCTTGCCTAGCTCTAATTAGGTCATGTGGCCTTGCCTATGGATCCTTCCCTCAAACATGCCAAATAAAACGACCTATTTCTTTTAGCATTGACCCATCTGATTTGTGTGTGTGTGTGTGTGTGTGTGTGTGTGTGTGTGTGTGAAGTCCTTTTAGTTCCATGAGAAAACCTGTCAGTGTGTAGGACTGGGGGATGGTAAAGGGAGGAAGCTGTATTAGAATTCAGCTTCTAAAAGTCCTACCCTTTTCGGTGTGGCGGTTCACCTTCCTCTAGGTTTCCTTTCTGTTTGGGGAGATCTTGCTCAACAGTGACATGTTCTTCTCCCTGAAAATAAAATATATGGGAAAAACAAAGACAATTATCTCCCAGATAGAAAGGTGAAGTTGCTAATAAAGTGCCTGCTGTGTTCCAGGCACTATGGTAAGAGCTGGAGATAGAAGGAAAGCACTCAGTCTAACGGATGTAGAAAAAGACATACATTTTTGGACATGACCAATGTGAGAATTGGTTTGCTTGAATGTGCCTATGTGCTACATAGGTTTGTTTTTTCTTTCTTTTTTTATTTCACTTCAGGGCAGGAAATAGGAGGAAGAGAAATTAAATAGATGTTAAATTAAAACAAACGCTTAAAAAAAGAATAGAAAAAGTCTAATAGGTTTTCCATTTCCTCTGTTGAGAATGATTCTGATATCTGATTGTTCAAGAATTTGATTCATTTTTAAACCTAAATTTGTTGGTTCAAAATGAGAACAATTCTTGGCCACCTATTATATGCTTTTTTCCAACACAAAATGTTCCAGAATCCACCATTTTCCTCACTCTGTCTTATAAATGTGGAAGGAATAATGTATACTTTTTACTCTTCTTTTGTGTATCCAGTCAAAATTGTAGCCATTTTATTCCATCATCTGGTTCTAAGGACGTCTGTGCCAATCAAATCAAAGTCTTTGCCACAAGAATTATTATAACCTCCCTTCAAATGTTGGCATAACTTGCATGGGTTATTTTCCAAAGGTCTGAGAGGTCAGTGCTGGTTTTACTTTGGTTGGAAGGGTAGCTGGGCTCAGTTGATCTGTAGGCCTCTCTAGATAATGGCCCCTGGAGTCAGTATATTACAGAATAAATAAACAAATGAATAAATAATTTTTTTAATAATGGTTGCTCAAATTTCCATTAGTGAAATGCTTTACAAATATAATCTAACCCTCCCAACAACCCTGGGAGGTAGGTGCTATTATCCCCAATGGCAGACTGAGGCAGACAGTGGTCCAGTGACTTGCCCAGAGTTACACAGCTATTAAGTGTTAGAGGCTGGACTTGAGAATTCAGGTCTTCCTACATCCACAACTAGCACTCTATCACTGAAGCATCTATCTGCCTTGTATATCCTCCCAAGATGTTATAGAGTTTCTTTTATTTGGACAGACAGAGTATCCTCTTGGCCCTCTCAAAGTTAAATTTACTCCCATGCTTTTCAGAAGGATTTTTGTTCCTCCCAACACTGTAACCATTGTAAAAGATGTTGGTATTTTAAAGAGTTCTCACAGATGCCAGCAGTGGTGAATTACCTCTGTTCTTATGGATATAGGTAGTTAGAAAACTGGTCCTTACTCCCAGCTTCTTTGCACAAGAAGATAGAATTTTTAATTTCCTTCCTTTCCTCAGCATCTATTTATCACCTTCTCTACTCAATACTCCACCAAAACACTCAAATACATGTATCCTGAGTCCACAACTCTGGGGAAGCTCCAGGCCTATCTCCTTCCCCGTGGGTCAAAGGGGTACTCCTGATTTCTAGCCTCCATCTCTGGCTTTATCCTCCCTTGACACCCCAAGCAAGTAAGGTCATGGTTGCTCCAACGGACCATCTGGGATCTCTTAGATTTGGCTCCAGGACTGTAGGTTTTTTCTTTTTTGGGGGACAGTACTGGGGTGAAGGTAGAAGCACCCCCTGGGGACATGCACATTTTGGTAGACTTTAGGAGGGATAGTGCTACTTGTTATCTTAGTTCCCTCTTCCTATTCCCACTGGAAGCCAAGAGTCTGAGGCAAGAGCCTAGAAAGGAGGCTGTTCTCGATCTCCCAAGGTTACGCTGACCCAGATCCCCATCTGAAGCAACTGGCCCCTCGAAGGAGGCTTAGGAAAAAAATTGACCCTTACTGCCCTCTCTGGAGGAGACAAAGCCTCCTCCCCATTTCTTACCCCGGTCTCTGTCTCCCTTTCCAGTTCTTAACCTTGGTTCAGGCTTGAGTCTCCCATAGGTCTCAGAGAGAAAAGCTAGGGGCAGTTAGGTGGCACGGTAGATGGAGCACTGGTCCTCGAGTCGGAAGGACCTGAGTTCAAATGTGGCTTCAGACACATACTGCATGACCCTGGGCAAGTCACTTAATTGCCAAAAAAATAAAAGGGGGGGGACAGCTAGGTGGCGCAGTGGATAGAGCACTGACCCTGAAGTCAGGAGGACCTGAGTTCAAATCCAGCCTCAGACCAACCACTTGACACTTACTAGCTGTGTGATCCTGGGCAAGTTACTTAACCCCAACTGTCTAAAAAAAAGGAAAAGCTAAGAAGTCCCTTCACCATGACACAGTTCAGCAACCCATCCACCCATCCACCCTACCTTCTTATTAAGGACCCTGTTGCTTCTTTTTTTTCCCAAATGCTAATGAATCTAAATGAATCAAATGATTTCTAATCTGTCTCTGAGGAAGGGAGCAGACATCATATTTCTGTAAATAGATCCCGCAGTTATAAACTGTGATTTATTTTTATTTTTAATGCAATGCTGAGAATGAACTTGGTGGAGCTCTCTCTCTCTCTCTCTCTCTCTCTCTCCCTCCCTCCCTCCCTTTTTCTTTCCTCTTCCTTTCTCTTTCTCTCTTCCTTTTTCCAGGGGTTAGAAGCTATAACTTGCAGTAAGTTCATTTTGTCTGTTTCTCCTTCATCTGTGCCCTTCCTCCGCCCATAACAATTTCTAAGGAAAACCGATAGACAAAAAAAAAAATCCTTCAGACATTTTAATGGAGTAAACACATTTATAGAGATTTCTTATTTCTATCTTCCTTTTCTTAATCTGTCTATACATATATATATATATAAAACATATAGTGTATATCAAACACGAGGTCCTGAGGACGCAATGAGAGGAAACATTTGGAAGGAGAATTTAGGGGAAATGCTTTCCCCCACCAAGGTCTGGTTTGCTGGGTGTGCTCTGCTCCAGCCCCTTTTCTGGTGGTCTCCCACATTGAACATCCTCCTCAGTTCTCCTCTGCCTCTTCCTCCAGTCCATTGTCCCACTCCTGGCCCCTTCCCCTCCACCCATCACCACCCAACTTTGGAATCTGTATTTTTTTTTGGACGGGGGGGGGGGTTAGGCAATGGGGTTAAGTGATTTGCCCAGGGTCACACAGCTAGTAAGTGTTATGTGTCTGAGACCGAATTTGAACTCAGGTCCTCCTGAATCCAGGGCCAGTGCTCTATCCACTATGCCACCTAGCTGCCCCTAGAATCTGCATTTTTTTAAAATAAAATAAAAATAAACCTTGAAAAAAGAAGATAGAATTTTTGTGAGCCATCACAGCATAGTGGGTACACAAAGTTGACCTCAGAAGTAAGAACTGGGCATTACCCCTCCCACCCCCCCACCTCGACTAGCTGTGTGACCCTGGACAAGTCACTTAACCTCTATCTTAGTGGCTCAAGTAACTCTCTAAGGTTCAGAGCTGCTGCTTGTCTGAATTTCCTGTACTGTTGGACCACAAAAACAATTCTACCATAATGTCAGTCACACTCATCTGTATCCTCCCACCCGCCTTGGATAAGAAAGCATCCTAACCTCCTGTTCTACCAATTCTGACTCTTGTTCAAACTCTCTATTTTGGGTCAAGTCCCTTTTGGAGCTACCTTTCCATGGCCCCTCTTTGTGCACTCTGTATTTCAGTCAAATTAGCCTATGAGTTTGTGGTTCCCCAAGCTGGGCATCCTATCTCCTTACTATATACTATCCCCGCCTCCTCCATTCTCAGAATATAAACTTCTTGAGGGTGGGAATAATTTAATTTAATTTTAACAATTTTTCATTTTGTCTTTGTACCCTTAAGCCTAGCACAATGTCTTTCACATGGTAGGTCCTCAAAAAAAAAACCAACACAACAAAAAACCAAAAACACAGGGCAGTGGATAGAGCTCTGGCCTTGCAGTCAGGAGGACCTGAGTTCAAATTCGGCCTCATACACTTAACACTTACTAGCTGTGTGACCCTGGGCAAGTCACTTAACCCCAATCTCCTAAGGAAAAAACAAAAACAAAAACAAAAAACATGGTAGGTCCTCACTGGATTGGATTATGTGTTTTTTTTGATGAATTTAAACAGATGGAATATATAATCTAGTATACTTGTTTCACATAAGAAAACTGAAGTCCAGAAAGTAGTGACAGACTCAAGTAACAAAAATCTGTTTCTCAGAATATAGTAAGTAGATTTAGTATAGTATAAGTAAACTATAGTATAGTTAGTATAGTATAGTATAGTAAAGTTAACATACTATAGTATATGATTTAGTTAGCATAGTATAGAACAGTGTGTTCCAATGATGGGCACAGTAGTTAGCACACAGGTGCTTAATAAATGTTTGCTGATGATTATTAATTAGTATAACATAGTATACATAGTATGTAGTATATATTGAACAGTGTGTAGAGTAGAGTAGAATGGAGAGCACTAGACTAAACTGACTTAAAGAGAGCTGGGTTTGAATTCTACCTCAGATACTAACTAGCTAAGTGACCAAGTGCACTTCACCACCTCCCTAAGCCTCAGTTTTTTTAGTTATGATATGGAGATAATAAAATAAGACAAGGGTAATGATACTTGAACAATTCCTTAGGATTATTGCATAATTATCATATTTGTACATATCATTATGGGTAGACCATAAGCTCCATGAAGGAAGGAACATGTTTAAATTATCTTAGTTGTGAGTAAATAGGGTAGCAACAAACTACTGTGATGTGGTCATTGAGTGAATGATGTTTTTATGTTATTTTATTTTTTTTTGTGGAGGTACTTTCCATGTTATGTCATTTGTGACTCACAGAGATCCTGTCAGATTATCACCACTTTTTGTTGTTGTTCAGTCATGTCTGACTCTTCATGACCCCCTTTAGAGTTTTCTTGGCAAAGATGCTGTAGTAGTTTGCCATTTCCTTTTCCAGCTCATTTTACAGATGAGGAAACTGAGGCAAACAGGGTTAAGTGCCTTGCCCAGGGTCACACAGCTAGTAAGTGTCTGAGGCCAGATTTGAACTCAGGTCTTCCTGACTCCAGGGCTGGTCCTCTAGCCAATAAGTCACCTAGTAGTCCCTGAATGTTTTTATCTTGATGCTGATACTGAAGGAAGGTGAAGCTGAACTGCTTCCTTTCTACATCAAAGTTGTTCAGTGGTGTCCTACTCTGGGACCCTATTTGGAGTTTTCCTGCCCAGGGTCACACAGCAAGGAAGTGTCTGAGGCCAGATTTAAATTCACATCTTTCTGACTCCAGGTATAGCACTCTACCACTGCCACCTAGCTGCCCATCACGTTATATGCTATATAGTTCTATTATCTCCTCTCTCAGTCCTATCCCATGGAGCTTGTGCAGTCTATCAAATGTTTACAAATTCTTTCTCACAAGATCTATATTTCACTTGGCCTCCAGGTTCTATAACTTAAGCTGACATTTCTTGTCTTGGGAAGGGAGACTGGGAAGAAGGGAGTTGCTGGTGTATTCCAGAAAAACGAGAGGTACTGTGCCATCACAATAGAAAAAAGTATTAGATCAGGAGTCAAAAGACTCTGTGTTCAAATTCTGACTAGGGTCATCCTTTTTGCAGAAGTTCATTTTTAAAAAAAATTTTTTTGGGCAATTGAGGTTAAATGACTTGCCTAGGGTCACATAGCTAGTGTCAAGTGTTTGGTCTGAGGTCGGATTTGAACTCAGGTCCCCTGACTTCAGGGCCAGTGCTCTACCCACTGTGACACCTAGCTGCCCCTGTGGTCATTCTTAAATGTGTAAATGCATATTTCTGGATCTGTTTCCTTATCTGTAAAACAAAGGGGTTGAACCAGGAGATCTCCAAGGTCCTTCTAGTTCTAAATCTATGATGATCCCATTAATTTTCTGCCTTGCATTTCTACAGTTTAGGAGAAGTTGGTGCAATCCTCTACAACTATTCTCCCCCTTTTGTCCTATATATTTTGGGTTTTTTCCTTTTTAAAACAGATCTGTGAATTCAGTGTGGAAAACTCCTAATACCTTCGAGAGTTTATATTCAGAGATGCCGGAGGCACTAAATAAACTGACTTGCCCAGGGCGACACAGACCGTAGATGTCAGAAATAGGACTATAATCCAGGTCTCCTTAACGCTGAGACTGGCCCTAGATTTGACTAACTCAAAAATGCCATTGAGGTGCATTTCCTCTCCTCCAGATTGCTAAGCGCCCCATTACTTTTGTGCCTAGGAACCAACAACAGTAGTCACTGTAGCTGGTGCCTTTCCTCAACAACAATGAAAATCAAACCTTACCTGCTGGGCGTTTATCCTATCCCTGTTATATTCATTACGATTTCTCAGTGAATATCTTCCTGACCCACTCTGGTTCTTGATATCTTCTTCCTTAATATGACAAAGAGAGAGATTTCGAAAGGAAAATCAGTGTTAAAAAAAAAAGTGAAAACAATTGTCCTTCTGACTAATGGGACATAGTAGAACCTGCAATTTCTTTTGACCTGCAAAAATCCATGACCCATCTGATGAAAAGTCTAAAGAAAACTGATAAAAGCAATTGAAGTGGGGTCTCCAGATTTGGAGAAAGGAAAAAGATAGTAAAGATCATAGAAGAGGGCTGTATGGGTAAGAGGCTAGAGGACTGGCCTTGGAATCAGGAACCCCTGGGTCTAAGTGCTATTTCAGGCACGGTGTGAACATTTCTCTGTGCCCCAGACAAATCTCTGAGATTTGGTGCAATGGTTACTGATCTGTTTCAAGGGAGGGAATTTCCAGGACCTCTCTCCTCCATTTATGGTTAACACTATTAAATGAATAGTTTTGCCAGGTGAATAATAATGTATGACAATGGAGATACAGTGCACTCTATGATGCAGTAGGAAAGATGTAGGATCAGCTTGAAATATAGAAGAAAGCTCCACCTTTTTTCAGTTCTCAAGATGATTGGCTGATTCTGCCACCTGGTGGCAGGATCAAAAACTACTTTCGTGCATAGCATATAGATGCTACCATTTCAAGCTTTTCATTAGATAAAGAAAAACAAAAACAAAGGAGCATATTTAAAAAAAAAAAAACCTTCTGAATGTAGTCTACTATCTTGAATATTACATAACCCACTGTGTGTTATTATAGAAAGCCTATGTATTACATAAAAACTCTTTGTTTCTTGTTTAAAGCCTGTGGCAATCTAGTTCTGCCCTCCCTTTCAAGTTTATCATATCAGTACTGCTCTGGCAAATGCTGATGCTGAAGTTTAAATACTTTGGCCACATAACAAAAAGACAGGACTTATTGGAAATGACCATGATGTTGGAAAATATTGAAGGCAAAAGGAAAAGGGAACAGCAGAGGATGAGATGGATAGATAGTATCATGGAAACAATGAACATGAACTTGGACAGAGCTACTGGAAGACAGAAGGGACTGGTGTGCGATGGTCCATGGGGTGGAAAAGTCTGAACAACAACAAAACTGAACTTTGCCTAGAATGCAATTTCTCTGCAACCTGTAGAATCCCCAGCTTTTCTTCAACAGCTTACTAAAGTGCCACCTCCTACAGGCTGCCTCTTCTGATTTTTCTACTTTATAGTATCCTTGATTTAGAATTAGAAGGAACCTTACAGCTGAGGAAACTGAAGCTAACAAGTTGTTATTCATTCTAAAAGAATTGGATTCTTAATGGATTGGATCATAGGCTTAGAGCTGAAAAGGACCTTAGAGATCACTTAGTCCAAATTCTTCATTTTACACATTTTTTTACAGATGAAGAAGCTGAGGCACAGAGATGAAGTCACTTGCTCAGGTTCATATTTGAACCCAAGGCCTCTCCCTCTAAATCCAATCTTCCCAAATCTTCCCCTGTAGCATCCACCTAGCCCTCCCCATGGTAACATTGTATTTTATATTTACTTTTCCATCTGCACAGTGATCCTCCCCAATAAAAATGTAAGCTCTCCAGGATGTGACTATCTCCATTTTTGTTTGTTTTTGTAGCACAGTGCTTGGCACGTAAGTGCTTAATGAATAATTACTACCTCTTGAGAATTTGTCATTGTATTTGGCTTTTGATATATTTTTTTTCATAGCAAGTTTTTCCTTAAATTGAGACAAATTCAGCCTCACTATAAATTTCTATTCTTTGCTCCCAATTTTCTCTTCTGGAGGCAACCCCCCTTCCCACTTGTAAACTCCCACTGGGATCACTGCCTATTGTGATTATGGGTTAATGGCTGAAAATGACCCTTTAGGAAAATAGACTTACCTGCTTGGTCAGCTCCAACACACATTCTTAGGTGGAGCTCAGGTTGCATTATTACGGCTTTCAGCTACTTAAATTCTGTTTTCTTCTTCTTTTCCATTTAGTACTTTAGCACTAATAGGCACATTCATATAACTAACCTGCTAGGACTGGGTCTAATTGCAAATGCTATTTGCAGAGTAGAACAGTTGACTTAATTACTCTATAAAGTAAAGAAAGTCAAGTTGGGTGTGTATAAGCGGCTTCCACAATCTCTAATTTCGATGGTTACTGAGATGGTCCCACAGTGTGTCTCAGTGTGTAACCAAGTCTCAGAATTCTTACTGGCTGCCCCCAACTGAAAGTAGAGCAGATCCCTATGGCCTAGAGGGCCCAGCCTATCAAACTCCCGTAGTTTTAACACCTGAAGATTTGGCCATCATAGTTACTGGAGATGCAGAATGACTAAGGGATTTTTTTTCACCTTATTGAGTGGCTACATTTACAATTTAGTGATAAAGTTTTGTTTAGAAATTGCTGAAATAGGGCAGAGCCAAGATGGCGGAGTAAAAGCAGTGACTTGCTTAAGCTCTCCCCCAAACCCCTCCAAATACCTATAAAAATGACTCTAAACAAATTTGGTAAGAGGAGTCTCTCTGACTCCAGGCCCAGTGCTCTATCCACTGTGCCACCTTACTAGTAGTCACTAGTGGGAAACTCAGATACCTGAAAGGGTCTAGGTATCTTGAGGTCTGTTTTCAGCTCACAATGATGCCTCAACATGTCAATTCAATTCAAGGGAAGCAAATGAGATTATGTTTATAAATTATGTATACTATGTATATAAAATTAGATTTGTATATATAAAGCATCTTGCAAACCGTAAGATGTTACATAGTCACTATTATAGAGAGTTAAAGATGGATAAAGTATTTACTATGTGCCAGGCACTGTGCTAATTATTGGGGCTATAAATGCAAGCAAGGAAGACAGCCCCTGTCCTCAATGAGCTTATATTCTGACAGGACACATTAAAGGGAGCTGAAGGGGAAGCAATACAGACTGAGCAGGATCCCAGCAAGATAACATGAAAGATGCTGGGGAAGGAAGCCCAGCTACCCAAGGATGGAGCTGGGGCAGTGAGGAGGCCATGAGGATGACAGCTAGAGTGGAAGTAGATAGAATGGTGAGAAAGAAAGATGATAGATAAATGAATAGAGAACTAGAATCCCAGAGTTCCCAATCAGGAAACTACCTTCATCAAGGCAGATTGGCATCTCATCTGAAATTTATATTCTGAGAGTTGCTTGGATGTTGAGGGGCTTGTCCAAGATCATATAGTCAGCCTTTGCCAGAGGCAGGACTTGAACCCAGATCTTCTTGGCTCCAAGGCCAACTCTCTAGCCACTAAGCTCTAGTAGCCTTCAGCTAGAATTGTTTTTTCTTTCCCCCACAACTGCAACTTCATTGGGGTGGGCAACTATCACTGTAGAAACTTCTTTCACTAATATATATCAGCAATTTCTACCATTTGTAGAATTGCTTGGAGAAAATGATATGGTGATAAGAATATATTTAAGCAAAATATGAAAATTAATTATTGTGTATATAACGATGCTATGTAATTATTATAATATAATGACTAGTCTCTCTCTCTATATATGTACATATGTATATATCTGTATATGTATATGTGTATACACACACACACATGTGTATGGATAGTCTCATTTGATGCTCATAACAACCCTGTGAGGTAGGTGTTATACTCCCATTTTATAGATAGGAAACTGAAGCTAAGAGATGCCATTTCACTTGTCCAGATCTTCCTGACCCTTAGGTCAGCTCACTATGCACTAAGCCTAGCTGCCTCTTATTATTTGCCTACTGAGTGCCAGACACTATGTCAGGTGCTAGAAATACAAAGGTTGGCACAGTGGATAGAGTGCTGGGCCCGGAGTCAGGAAAACTTGAATTCAAATCTGACCTCAGACACTTCCTAGCTGTGTGATCCTGGGCAAGTTACTTAACCCTGTTGGCCACAGTTTCATAAAATGACCCCAAATGGGGTTGGAGAGTCAGACATAAAACAACCAATGTCAACAACAATTTTTTATGCATGTGGTTGTGGCTGGGGACCCTTGATTGACTTAGCTGATCTTACTACTGCCAATAAGCCAATTGATTTATTGCTGTTCCATATCTGGTTGCAGGCCATATCAGGATCATAAATCTAGAGGAAGAAGTGACCCCAGGGGTCATCTAATCAAATCCCTTTGTTTTACAGATAAGGAAAGCAAAGCCAATAAAAGTCAGAATTGACCCAATGTTTTTAATGAAAAGAAATAAAATTTGTCAATAAAAATCTATTACAATAATTCCTTGGTTTCCTTATCAGCCCCAGTCCCTTGAGGTCAAGGATTCTATCCTAAACTCCCTTATGCCTCATTGAACAAAGGGCCCTCCCTAAGCAAAAAATAACTATTTGCAGAGTGTGATCAGATTTTAAATGCAAGAACCGTCACTAAGTAAAAGGGATTTCAGGGATGAAGGCAAAATAGGAAGTTGAAGAATTACCAAAAAATTTGGTGTAAGATTAAGAAATAAAGGAGTGCACAGGCTTGCAAACTATTCAGAAGTTTCATAGCTATAAATCAGGAGTTTAAAGAGTTGGAAACCATTGCCCCAAATGGCTACTTGAACAGAAGTAGGCAGCTCACCTCCCACATACCCACTCCAGCAAAAAAACAAAACAAACAAAAAAAAAAGCCAGAATAGTGCTTGACTGAATAACGATCAAGATACTCAAAGAGAAAGGGCTGTAGGTGACTTCATCCATATCAGAACTACACAAAAGAGACCAGAGTTCCTGGAATTAGGACCCAAGTAAAACCAGCATCAGGGTAGGCAAACAGAGACAGGCCAAAGACCCTTATAGTTTGAAAGGCTCTCTCTGGAGGCTGTAAGAGCAGGGGGCTCCTACAAAAAAAAAAGCCCTAGGATGGTTGCAGATCTACAGTAAGAACCTTGGAAGAAACTAGGAGCAAGAGCAACCAGTCCAGGTTATGGTAGAGTTCAGACCAGGACCCTACAGACCCAGGGGCTCCTGTCCTGAGAGAAGAGGATCCTAAAATCTAGTGCTCTGAGTCCC